TCTTTCTCAAAACCACATAAACCGTATTATATCAATAAAAATAAAAAAATAAAAAATAAATATATTAAAATGTAGATTTATCTCATTATATCAAAGGAATACCCATCTATTATTATAATATTATGAAATAAATAGACTGTATTTAACTGTACTAATCTACTCCTTTTTTAATTTTGTACAGTTTTAAGCTGAATGAATATCTACATGGACAATTTTTTGTTTACATGAACTAATATTAAGATTTAAAGCATTTTAGATTAATTTTTTAAAATAAAGAAATCAAAATCTCAAAAAAAAAAAACATTCATTTTCAACATTGATTATAATATTAAAATATTACATTCATTTATTAAAATATCATTTCTCTCTTTAAATATTTATGTTCAATGTATCTTATTGGTGCTCTCACTTGCTAATCGTGTTGGTTGATCTTCACATTTGGAGAAAAACACTTCTTTTTGCTACTTTTTCTATTTTGAAGATAGTTTTGGAAAAAACTGTTGGAGCAAAACATTGGCTCAACATCCGTATTTTCTCTATTTTCCCCGTTTTAAAGAAGCTGTTGGAGATGCTCTTAATTTTGATAATTTTAATATAATGTATATTGATTTTGATAATACATAAGTATAGATGTGTATATAATGGACCATTTACTAAGCACTTACCTATAAAAGTTACCACCCTTACTTTATTCAAACCATCAAAATGAATTGTTGATAAACATCTTTTATTCGACAAGTGTTAAATAGATAAAAGTATTATCCTTCACTTACCAGGTATATGATGGTGATGTCATATATATATATATATATAAACATGGAAGATGGCGAAAATGCAGGTTTTTCAACTAAAACTACATATATCTTTTTAACTTTAGTACCAAAGACCCTAAACATGCATCTTTTTAAGGTTGTAGGAGAGCATCTACACTTTCAATCCTTTCTTCCTCACTTCAACCCAACCCATCCAAAAAAACATTTCTTTTTCCAACAAAAACAAAATTACAAAAATAAAAATTAAATAAAACGAATAGATGTCGTCCGAACCAAAGCAAAGGGGACGGGACGGGACAGGAAACGGCTTGTTTTCGTGGATCATTTCCGAGCTTGTAAGCCAGCCAGCCAGCCAGCCGAACTCCGTTGAAATGCGGTCGGAAAGAAGGAAGCAACTAGTAGTAATATTTTTGTTACAGCACACCACAACTTTCCTTTTCTTTTTTCAGGCATAATACATGTACAAGCTGTTTGCAGCAGCACAAGCGATCGAGTTTTCGCTCGGATGCCATGCTAGATGGAGGAGCTTCGTTGTGAAGTCTAGTGAATTCCCGTTTGCGTCGACTCCCCCTGGGCTGTCTCCTCCTACACGTAAATCGTTTAGAATTAACCCCCACGTAACTTTTGCAAGGTTGGTTCAAACAGAAACCGTATATATTTTGAGAACATGGGAACTAACCATTCATACGTTATTCATAATGAAAATACATGATTATTAAGGGTTATTCATCATGAATAGTATAGTTGGTTCCTAGGTTTTCATGATATTTATGGTGCTCATTTGAATTTGGAGTAAATTACGATTTTCGTCCCTGTGGTTTGTTAATAATTTCCATTTTCGTCCCTATGGTTACATTTTATTGCTATTTTCGTCCCTGGACTAATTCCTACCTTTAAAGTAGGAGGAACCAAAACAGTAAAGAAATGTAAAAAACCACAGGGACCAAACAACAATTAATTGTAAATGATAAGGATGAAAATAGCAACAAATTACATATCATGGGGACAAAAATCGCAAATTCTAAACCATAGGGATGAAAATCGAAATTTTTAACAAACCATGGGGACGAAAAACGCAATTTTTAATCTTTGAACCACCTGCCCCTATATTCTGTCAGTTGTATAAGAACAGAACAAGATAGATGACCAACCTCGTCTAACCGCACGGGTTATGCTGCTGAGGGATCGGGGAGGCCTTGAAGGAGTCTGCACTTGTCTCCTACAATTCACACAAAATTTGTCTTACCCAATCAGACGAAATGAAATGAGATATAAGGATACCACATGGGGTCTTCAGGGCAGTTTGGGAGTTGAACCTATTACGGATAAGCTATGGGCTAGAAGATTGAGGTGATTTGTCACATCCGTAGGCGAGGAATGCCTGCTTCAGTGAGGAGGGTAGAAAGTGTGACGGTCGAGAGGTAGGCGAAGGAGAACGTGAGATGAGCGACTAAGATGGTATATGGTGGCTTTAGACGTTTCTTAGGACATTGATGTCTGATAGAAGTTCTTGGAGACGCAAGACTATGAGGGTTCTAAATGGGAGAAGGGTGTTCGAGAGGTAGATGGTAGGAGATAGGGTCGTAGTGTCAATATAGGTTACTAGAAACCTAAGGAGCTGTTTGGTTGATTTTCCATTAAGTCATGTATGGATATAAAGTTGATATATGGATTAATATGTCTAGATAGATTGAGAAGGTTTTTGTTTTGGGAGAGTTTTTTCATAGATGGAAGGGGCATATTTGGAAATTACTGGACTTTCTGCATAAAGCTCCCCTCTAGAAGTTTACTGAATAAGCCACCTTCTGTATCATTAAGCCATTACCAAACAGCTACTAACAAACATGTCCTAAGTCAGACGACGGGTGTGTTGTTTCCACGCCTTGTTTATGTTTTTACTATACTTGCTTCTATTTATATTGTTGCGTACGCTTATTTAGCATAGTCGTCTCTCTTTATGGTTTTATTGTTGTTCACTTTTTTATCTAGCTTTTCATTTTAATAGCAAAGTCGTCTTTCTCTTTATGGTTTTATAGACATTTTACTAGCCGAGGGTTGTCAAACAAACAACCTCTCTACTTTTTAGGGTAGAAGCCAGGTCTGCGTACATCTTAACCCCCCCCCCCCCTCCCCGGGGGGACCAACCTTTGGGGAAATCTAATGGGCTCGTTTGGTTTGGTTTGGTTTGGTTTGGTTTTTGAAATGAAACAAGAAAATATTAGCATTGTTACCTCATTGGGTTTTTGCTAGCTTCGAGGGTAGTTGCTTCAGTATTGCCGCGACCACAGCCAAACACACGGAATAAATTGCTGAAATCATATAAATTTGGGACAAGTGAGTGGCCACCCAAATAAACCAACAACAGCGATCAGATCCGACATAGATGTTACCTGTAAGAACCGGTTGCCACTCGCATGCTATCACCACTCAAACAGCACTCAAATTTATCGAAGATTGAATCATTTTCATATAGATCGCATAGCTGAACGTAAGGGGCTCAACAACATCAATGCTCTCGTGAAAACAAGAAAAAACAGCAGGTAAAAGAGCTCGGTATAAAACTGGTGTGAAGAGAAGTATTACCCTAGGTCTCAAATATTCATGCACCTGGAATGTTGAAACTGGACCGGAGTCCATGTTGATGTCCCATAGCTGCATAAAGCATAGAATTTCATAAAATAACAAGTGCTCAAAACCAGAATTATAATGAGAATCTAAAGGTAACTAGGACAAAAAAGAAAGGTGCAAGGGGAAGGATGATCCAACTAATTCTATAGGGTCAGGTTCAGCGTAAAACCACAAAAAAATGAAAAACCGAGGAACACCCTGATAATCATTCATCAAAAACGATACGTACATGTGCATACGAGTAATTCGTAAGTAATTTGCAAGTAATTTGTCCAGTATGCACATGTGCATAAAAACCAAGAAACAGTTCACTTATTTCTACAGATGAATGGTTACTAAGGTGTTCCTCGGTTTTTCAATTTTTTGCAGTTTTCCCCTGAACCTCACCCTTAATTCTATATACCATCAAACATATAGTAACAATTGATCAGTAAACAGAGAAGAGACTACAAAATTTATGTAATATGCTCCAAGTTCAATAAAGCAACTCGACTTCTTTATAAACTTGTTTGAACACCGTGCACAAAATTTCCCAGTAGTTTTCAAAACAGTATCTCAAAGTTGCACTCTTTATTTACAGCCTTGAACTTTTAGCTGAATGTGTGACAGCACAACTTGAGAACTAGATTTCAAGAACTTCATTAGTCATTTGGTCTAAATTTTACCCTTGCAGAGCCAGTATGTCATCATCACCCTTGTTTGGTACATCAGTTCCTCTAATTAAAATATAATAATGAAAAAATTCAGATTTCACACAAAAAAGAATACTGATGGAAAGTCCCAACATTCTTATAGCAGTGGTATCTGCAGTGTTCTAAAAAGGCACGTCACAGTGACCGATATGGCACGGCCATGGCGCAAGACTCGTCTCTGTCACCATGTTACCCTTATGGCAAGCCATGGTCCAATGTGCATTTTTAGCAAGGCGTTATTTGATCTTCTTTTTCCTTTTTAATTTGTTGTACCCTTTACTGTTTTACATTGTAGTTTTAGTATATGACCTACTTGTATATGGTCTTGTATCAGAGTAAAAGTAGAAAAGATATGTCTTTGTGTGTGTAAGTGGTGTGTGGATGTGTTTGTATGTATATATATATATATATATATATATATATATATATATACATATTTGTTAACCATGGATGTCTAGGCCAGCTTGCGCACACCTCGATTAAGCCCAGGGGCCCTGGAGAACAGCCAGAAAAACCCCGGTGGCCTTGCAGGACTCGAACCGGTGATCTGTGAGGAGGATCCCCAAAGGCCCAAGCCTTATTGCCAATTAATCTAACCCCAAAAGGTTAAATATATAGGATTGGGTTCTGATGAGAATGGAAGTTATGGTGAGAAAGGTAAGAAGCAATCTCCATCCTTGGGGTTTGGAACAATCCTAATCAAAGATCAACACTAATGCGGTGCACCAAGATGCACCGGATGAATTCTCGTGAGAAGCGCAATTCATGTGATGGGGGTGAGAATAAAAATGATCAAGGGTCCAAATCCCTTCCTACACTTCTTACCTTAACTCCTATTCTCACACGATCCTTCGTCTATACATATTGGGTTGTTCTCGCATTCTCGTAAATCACAGGGGTTCTCGTTTGAACCTCCACCTATATATATATATATATATATATATATATATATATACTTGCCGCCATAAATCACGCCTAGAAAAACGTTGTGGCCTCATCGTGGTTCCTAAGGATTGAGGCTCAACCTCACTACTTGTATAATATATAGCAAATAACAAGCATGTGATCATCATTACTAGATATTTGTAGCTAATTATTAACTCCAAACCCATACAAAAAAAAATCTTCTTTTTTTTCTTTTTGTGGACATAAAGCTATATTATATCTTGATGTCCAGACTATGAAATGAAAAGCAGAATCAACCAGAAGTGAAGACGTGATTATGTAGCATAAAGGGGAAAATCACAAACCTTAAGGGTCATGTAATCACGACTAAGTATGTATCTTCCATCCCTTCCAAACTTTATATCAGAAATAGAGGCTATTATTTCAGTGAAGAATGACCTCGAACCAGGTGCTTCCTGTTCCTCAAACCTATAAAAAAATATATTACTGCTTCTTATAATACTAGATAGGCTACGATTATGGTGTCTCCTCGAACTGTTTCAGAATTCCCAAAAGCCTGTTGTGTAAGAGCATCTCCAACAGATTCTTCAAAATTTCTCCAAAATGGAGAATGAAACTTCAAAACCTTTAAAACTAAAATACATTTAACTCCACCGGATTCTCCATTTTGGAGATTACAACATAGATTATATTATTAAAATATTCCTTTCATCAGATAAAATATTATTTCTCTCTCTAAATATTTATTTTCAAAGTTTCCTATTGGTGGAAATATAATAACATTCCTCTCTCACTGTAATCATTTTTGGGGTGTTCTCTAAATTTGGAGATTTTTACACTCTCTCTCTCCTACTTTCTCCATTTGGAGAATCTGTTCGAGCAAAAAACATGCCCAAGATCTCTATTTTCTCCATTTTGGGGAATCTGTTGGAGATGCTCTAACTTAACAAAAGCAACAGAAAAAAAACAGGTAGAAACAGAATTGAATTAGGGAAAAGCTTACAATCCAACAAACCACTTACAATTTAGAGTGTTTATCACATAATGCAGATTGACGCAAATCAATTAGGCGAATAGATCCTTTTGAACTACTATATGCTAGTGTGCTACAATGAGTAGGATGAAACTCGGCGCATGTAATCACCTCTGAAATAAAAGCAGATTCACAGACAAGGTTCACGAACATTAGTAGCATCGAGCAAGCCAAACAAGAAATAAACATGGTGAATGCTAAGAAGAAAAATATTAAGTGGTTATGAGGAAAGTCCATAATCCATCTAATGCAGAAGGAAGTGAATTGTCGCAACTAAATAGCTTTAACAAACACATGCCACTGTTAACTCTAATCACTCGGTGCTAAACTTGGGAATCAGAAAGACAGCCCCCCCCCCCCCCTTTCAAAAACAAAAGCAGCATGGAAGTAATTTACCAAAAAGCACGCAACCTGCAGTAGCAAGATCATACAGCAGTAAACAATAATAAACTTATAATAGCAAACGGTTTTGGTTTCATGAGAAGATTAAGCTTTCTACTTAATTCAGTTTCTTGTAATTAAGAGATCAGCACCAGATCCAGGCAGATAGAGAATTGATTGGCTCAATGGGAAATTGTCGACTATGAGAGCATATACAACTCCGTTTTTGTGTTATTACATGGCCTGTCCCAGAGACGGACCTCAATTTTTTTTCATGTCGTGGCACCATTTGACTAAAAAACAAATATAGGAATATTTTTCACAAAATCATCATTGGTCTGTTGGTTAGTTCATTGCTTGTCATATGTGAGGTCCTGTGTTCAAGACTTTAATTGCAAAAAAAATTCAGAAACATAATAAATCTGAAATTAAAAGCTAAAAACTAAAGAAATGACACTAATGGGATTCGAACTCGGGTCTGGAGTGGAAGAAAAGCCTTGCAAACCAACTCTACCAAGGGAAACTTGGGTCCTCATTGTAGTTTCAAAATATATAGTGGCACACACAAATTGATACGGTGGCACTTTTCACGACCCTATAATTTTTTACACTATGACGGAGGAACGAAGCGGTGGCCCGTGCCACCATATGCACTCTGGGTCCGTCCCTGCCATCCCCAACAAAAATAGAGGGGGCATGCAGATGGCCCTGTGTGCCCATGCACTGAATCTCTTCCCAATAGTTTGAGCATGTATCAAATTTAGTGCAAGTCAGATAACTGCTAAAAAACTGTACCAGTAAGATCCTCCATATTTGCAGGCTTGACATCCACAATGTTGAAACTCTGATTGCTAATTTCCAAATTCCAAAGATTTATCCGAAGATCATCAGCAGAGATGAACGTTTCACCATCACTGATGCATTGGAAGGGGAAGAAAGGATCAGAACATAGTTACAGAAACGCACACATATGTAAAGCACAGATACATAGCCACATAAGCTCACATGAAATTGCATCCCAGATATCAGCAAACCTACCGGAACCTGATCATTTTGGTTATTGGTATAAGTTACTAACAACATTTTCTGGTGTAATATTATTGCATTCACATAAGAAAGAAGCAACAAAGATAATGACTGAATCCCGACTATTTACGGGTAAACAAAGAAAACAGAGCTGCTTCATAACCTCCTAAATTAAGAAAGCGGCACCGTTATGACTTCTGCTGGAAAACTTAACGTGCATTATAACCAGACAAGAATGAAATGGCAAATAACATAAAACCACCACAGTAACAAGAGCAATAGAGCGATCTGACACCAATACAACACTATGGCAAACAAACACGATCAATTTAAGCAAGTATAAGAAAGAAATGGAACAGTGAAGAAGACAGCCCACATAGGGATAGAGTGACGGAATGGGAGAGTATATGATGCCCCTAACACAAAACACGACATATAAAATAAATCACCAAAGTTAACCTAGTTGTGAAAGAATAAAGGTGAAAATTAAATAGACCTTTTAGTTCCACGAGAACATCGAAAAAACATTGCTCCTGAGCTTCTCATCCACCAAATCAACTACCACGTCAAGCAGGATCCAACTATATTCTAACTACTGACAGTGGACTAGATATCTCATATCACCACGGATAGAGCCATAAATTTTTTATGAGCAAGTGACATGGTAACACCAATGAATGCTTTACAACCAATTATGAATTAGATGTGATGTATCGTACATCTGTTGCACTAATAACCGAAGAAGACAAACAAAAACTAATTTCTATGGGGGAAATGCAACAAATTTACATTTGTTATTTCAGTACGTGACAGCTCTCTTCTACATTTTAATTCTGAAGGTTCATTAAAGAACTCAGGAGCCGTCTGTGGGGACTAAGCAACAGGTTTTAACATGCCTGTTCAGTTGTCAAGACAAATAATAATGAGATGATAATACTTCCTTCTTTACTAAGGTGATATGTTGACTAAAAGGGGCTGTTTGATTGGTTTTCCATTAAGTCCTGTATGCATAAAGCTGTCTGTGTGGATTAATCTGTCTGTACAGATTGGGAAGGTTTTTGTTTGGAAGGGTTTTCCACAGATAGAATGAGCATGTTTTTTAATTTGGAATGCATAAAGCTCCCCTGTAGAAGCTTACTGACTAAGCCACTTTCTATAGCATTAAGCCACTACCAAGCAATCATGTATAGCTGACCAAGTAAGCTGTGAGTCTCATTAAGCTGCTATCAAACAGGCCCCAACTTTATCATACAAAAAATCAAAACAGTTGTGTAAACTAATACCAACCAGTAGCATCTCTTCAAGGTGCATGATATCCAAAGTGTAAGATGAGATGCAAGCAGTTCAGAGCAGATATGTGCATATAAGCAAAGTTACTCTCAAAACTTTTAAGAAATTGAATGTCCAAACCTGTTATTTGAGACCGAGTTGATATGGTAGTCATGTGCATGAGCATAGACTCGTCTACATCTGGCCACAAGGTTGGTCTCATTACTAGTTATCTACAAAAATTTCACCTTTAAGTATCATAGCAGTTACAAAAAGGACTAATCAATGAATTGAGCAAAAAACAGCAGGGTCATAAAGAGAAAATAAGAGTAAATAGATGGAGACAACCAAACTCACCATTTCTTCCTTTCTTAAATAGAAATAATGTGATTATGAGGAAAATATGTGCATTAACTCGCATGATTTTTCTAAGAAGCAATTGTGGTGAGTTGATAGTATGTTTGATGGTAGTTATAGGTTTGCCCAAAAATAAAATTTATCCAAAGTGCTAACACTAGTGAAAGTACATTAGCAATAAGATCATATCCCCAGACTGATCAATTGATGGAAATCCATTGTGTTAATCAACAAAAAAGAAGTTTTCAGAAGCAAATATACAGACCAACAGAAATAGAAAGCATGAAAGGGTAATTTAATACAGTATGCATGCCCTTTTAAGGAGCCAAATGCACAGCCTTATGATATTAATTGGGAAATCTTTCTTCCAACATGTACAACTGTAATTAGAACACAGACCAACATCACAGTTACACAACCAAGTGTCAAACTTGATTGTTGCACTTTTCTACAATGAGTGACTTATACCGCACTTTAACTCCTTCGTCGATTTTCACAACTATTTGGGCTTTATTAAGATCATTGGTTTTAAATACAGAAACAGTTTGATGGTCTTGTGGGAACAGTGTTAACTGAGTAAAAAACTATACAAACATATACAGCATGGGTGAAGTAAACTACCACAGGTAGACGCAGTGAGGGGATGCCTCCTGGAGGAAATTTGAAGTCATTGCTCAAATTATTGGAAGATTTATCATTGTATCCCCCATTTGCAACATGCAAATTAGTATTGGAAGAAACACTTGAACTTGCAACATTACTCTTTCCATCAACCTTGGAAGGGTCCATGTTCATGTTTGCAATTTTCTTGACTTTCTTCTCTTGAACCTGTATAAAGCCCAAATCTTATATTTTCAATATGGTGAGAAAACAGAAAGACAGATCCACACGTAACTTAAATTGCCGAATGACAATAAAATAATAAAGAAAAAAAGAAGAAACTTAGCTAGACTTGAGTCACGCATAAAACCCTTCAACTTTATAGTAACTTTTCTTAATATTTAATTGTATGTCAATAGTGGCAACGTTATCCTCTGCAACTCAGCTAAAGCAAAGCATTAGAACCAGTTCCAGATCCAAAAAATTTACGTCCAACACCCATACATTACAGCTTCTTAGCTTGATCTTAGTGTCTTTTGAAGGTAATCACCTGATACACATTACTCTAGATAGAACCTCACAGAACCAACGAAAATTTCTTACAACCTAATTATCAGACATAATAACTTACGGAAAATAGCAAGCAAAAGCACAACATGCTTTGAAAGAGTCTTCTAGTGAATCCATGCTACTTGCAATGTTCAGGTCTATAGGCTTTTCAACATGAAACGTTAAGAAACCACAAATCCTCACGGAGGTAGAGTTGCACAGCACAATTGCCTTCATACCACCCAAAAGAAATATTTGACTTTCAGTAATGACAGGTGAGAGATAAAACCCAGCTTAAAAATGATGTTTCTTGAGAATTCTCTTACTTACCCTTAATCAAAAACATAAAACACTAGCCTTTATACCAAATGGTTTGCCGATGACTTGCATACTTAGTCAAATGTCTCTCAATATAATATCTTTTAAAATATGACAACTATTGGAGCTAGAAACAAGTGAATGGACAAGAGAGACCTTGAACCTAATGGTGTATCAAATGCACATATTTATGTTAGCCAAAGATATTGACCACTATCAGATAATAGACTGATATTACTTAATGTAAACATCACATTAGCAAAGACCGACAGCAAAAGAGATTATTTTGGATTTAGACTTGATCAAATACAAAAGAAATACCATTAATGCACATTTCATAAACAAACAGTGTTTATTTGGATGAATAACATAAAGAGGAACCATATGCATCAGCAGTCTTATTGTTATTCTATAAATTCCATTATGCTAAGCTGTTAAGTGTCAAATGATCTCCTTGAAAGCTACATATTTTCCCTTCAAATGAGCCACCAATGATTAAGATGAAACCTTATGTAAACTGTAAACATTAACACACTAGATACCCATTCGAAGACTGTAAATTCAATGACAAAGTTGCAGGAATTGATTTAGTCCAAGCCAGAGTGAGTTCTTGAATTTACCCAAGACAGCTTGCACATATATGAAGAGAATCTTACATGATTGTAAAGAACATAAAATTTTAATGTACTCTCAAGCAAATGTCTACATATGAACACAACTAAATAGAAGACAATTAGAGCGGTTACCTTCCAGAACTTAATGGTTTTATCGTTAGTAGACAGAAGAAAGAGGGCACCATTGGCTGTTTGGCACCATCTAATTTTGTTAATTTTCTCCTCAATCTCCAAACTCTTTAAATAATCAAACTGAAAGAAACAGTAGGACATGTAGTATGAATAAAAAGCCCACCTAGTAAATAAACAAAATGATAAGAGGTCCTTTGGCAGGCAAAAAACTAACGCCGAACAGAAAGGACGAAAGGAAGAGTTCAAACAAACCTCAGGTTCATGGCTCTGGAACTCAGTTTTATAGCGGAACTCCGGATGCCTGCTTATCGGGTAATCCGTTTTCTCTAAATCCCTTCTACTTCCACCATGCTACACCAGTGTAGCAAATTTAGAATGTGCAAGTAACAAAAGACACTCGAGTCAATACAAAAACCACAAGTACAAAATGCAAAAACACTTGTAAAATGAAAAGAAAATCTCAAGAAAAGTTAGTACTATATAATCCGGCAGACCGGCACAACTGACCTCCTTGGTATCTGTTCTCTCAAATAACACCACCCTGCCCCCACGATCACCAGTTGCAAGATGATCACCACTTTTATCGAACTCAATTGCCGAGATTATATCAACTGCAAATGAAATCACAAATAGATCAGAAAAAGACTATCACAATGCACAAGTTCTTTGATAGCACACTCAGAGAATGGTAAAGTGATAGCTGTAAAACCAACAATTATATAAGTGGCTAGCTGATATCCGTGACTTGTCTGGTTGGCAAACACGAATATACAGAGAGAATTCACTGTGACAAACAGTTGCCATCTAATATTGTAGAAATAGACGGTTACATAACCACCTGCCATTCCAAAAGCCAACAACTATATACGATATCTATTATGATATTCCAGAATCCTTTGCAGTTTTCCTGATTAACCACAGAGTAGACAGTGGGACTTGGAAACATGGAGACTTACAAAGACGGTGTAACTTGTGTGTTCATTAAAAGGATCCATATCCAAAGGAAACAGATTGCTTTTTTAAATAAGCATATGCAAAGCACAAAACTAGTAACAGTGTTATAAAATGAAAATAAACGCTATAACACTTGCACAATTATATATTAAGAATTTATATGATATTGTAAACAAGAACAAACTTATTCACCAACATGGCAAATAATCGATAGGAAGCCTCTACAGTAACATTGGTCACAAATCCATAACCAACACATCAACACCAATGAGGCAATTATTCACCAGTGCTTTTGACCTGATAGCTTTTGACCACTAATATAGATCCTTGCTCGCCAATCCCCATGCACAAGTTATCATCAATGAAAGGTTATTTACATGCCATATACTAAGCAGAATATATGACACTTAACATAATCATCTAAAATATCAAGGGAAAAGCCCTTGGATTGAGAAAACCCGTCTCGTTGCTATATAAAAGCATAATCGATTAAGAATCTCAATGGTTTGGGGTTACTTAATAGACATCTGTGATTATAAAGGACCAATGTCATTGAATAAAATATATAGAGGCTGGACAAGACTGGACAAGTTGTCTGTCTGGTTTTTGGTACGACTAGGACTGGATAGGACAGCACAAGAAAAGTTGCCCCTAAAAGTTGTTTGGTGATTTTATATATCGTATAATAGTTAAATGACACAAATCAAGTAAATATTTAAAAAATAATAATTTATGAACACTTTTACACAATTTTCATATACATAAACACATACATATATAGTAGTACCAAATCCATACGAAGAATTTGATATAACTGATGGTAGTTCGAAAACACGGTTCCTACAAAGGGAAAAATATTTTTTATTCGGTTTGGAAGATCCTCATAAACTAGTGGAGGCACAGTGGAGGTTGTTGTAGCAACAATGGTGGTGGAGGTAAAAGCGGTAGTGGCTGGTGGACAGTGCAGGTTGTCGCAGGGAGAATAGTGGTGGAGGTAGGGGGGATGGCTAGTGAACAACGGTGGTAGAGGTGGTGGTGAGAGGTACCCTATAGTGGTGGTGGCTGCTATGGTGGAGGTGACTGACGGTGGCAGTGGTGGTGGCAATGGGCAATGGTGGTTGTGGAGGTGGTGGAGGAGGTTATTGTAGTGAAGGAGGAGGTGAAGGTGGTCGGCGGTGGCTGTTGGTGGCCGCTACTGGTGGTGGTGGCAGCAGCGGCGGCAATGGGCAGTGGTGACCATTAAAACAAATACCATATTAGGGTTATATCAAATTAGGGTAGATTAGTAACTTTTAGTTTCTCTATCATTTGTCCCATCTTGTTCCACCTATTTTGGTGGAACAAAAAAACCCTTTTCTGTTCCATCCAGTCCCGGTCCTTGTCCCATGTCATGCCAAACATGGAACACTAAGTTTTTGTCTTGTCTCGTTTCGCGCCAAACATGGGGCTGTGAGTTTTGTCTTCTCTTGTCTAGTTCCATGTACCCAACACAGCCATACAGAACATAAACATTACAGCATTTTGAAGTCGTGCTGGATTATATAAAAATATAGGATGCAGTGGTAAAACCTGAAGATAATATATTTGATAAAGGTATTAATGATTATGCAAATAAGAACCATTGCCTTTTTTTAAGAAAGCATCAAGACACAAAAGGGAGAGGAAGGCACTACATGACCAAGAAAGTTGACCCCAAAGAAGGGTCTAATGGTTACACGGATAAGAAACTGTAAGAAGGGAGGTAAAAAAGGGTAAATTTGATTATAAAGTGAACTGAAAACCAAAGAAATACTTGTCTGCTAAAAATAGATATGTCATCACTTACTTCCATGCACATCAAGACACTGTTCTTGTCTGACAGAAGTATTTATACATGGTTGCATCTATAAAAGTCATCACCATATTTGCTACTTGTCTATGACATAAGCTTTGCTATTTGTCCAACAAATAGTCATTCATATGAAACACATTTAGAAATCAAAATTGTACTTAATGGGTGTCAATACCAGCTAACTATATATGTCTTTATTATATAAAAACAAAATCAGTGACAACACACAGACGGGGTATATCCAAGTAACAGCATGCCCCGCATTTTCTTAACATAAGGATACACAAGAGATTTGCTCTGACATGAAAAGCAAGGCAACCGGTGATTCTCGTGATATGACTTTCTGTCGGGTCAACTTTTCTTGATAAGGGTGCTAAAAATAACATTTGAAAGATAAGCAGGTTAGACGATGTTCTAGGTCAAGGCACGTGGAAAGTATGTAGCAGTTCAATGTCAAGACTCAAAAACCAGCTACTAATTCTAGGCTTTATACGATATTAAATTGGAAATAAAGTAAATAAACAAATGTCTTCAAACGGATGTCAAGAATAATACTGCCATAGTGAGTTGACACAGACACATAGTCATGAATGGTAAGAAGGGTATAATGGTATGTAGTATATAGAACCACCTATCTAATTCGTAGTTTCACTCGTCTTCTCTTCATAATAGATTATACACAGGTGGTCACGTATGCTTGTATTACGATTGTGTACATCAGTTACATTAGCACACTATAAGTGGCTTCTTAACGATCTCACGAGCTCTACAGTGGCTTTAAGCATATGGGAATAGATAAAAGATGTTGAAACTTTTCAAATACTTGCGGGTGCAGCACCTGGAGATGCATTTTAGTTTTTATTTAAGTGTGAGAATGGAAAAAGAGAAGAAAGGTTAATAACGGTAACTTGATCAGTGTAAAATTGCAGAAATTTCCGTTTAATTTATATTCTTTTGGATTAACAACTCAATCAAGTGCAAGTATACAACCTAGAGTCATTATTTCCATAAGCACCGACTATTCGGTAATGTGTCGATCCAATAAACAAGATCAAAGACATGCTTTATTCAAACCCTAATATAAATCTGCGGATCCACGTAATAATAAAATTAATAATAACCTTAATTGAAGCTAGTTTACCTTCTTGAACTTCTTCACCGGCGGTGCGTTCACCAAATACCTGAGAGAATTTCCAGTCAAGCGGCGGTGGTGCACCCGCCGGAGCTGCCGCGACATCTCCTTTATCACCACCGTTCATCTCCTCTTATTAATTAACCAAACAACAACAACAACAAACAAACAAAACAATAACGAAATCTCTCCCAACTAAAATCAGATCACGACATCGTCACCGGATCGCTATTTTTCCGATTAGCATTTCTTCTAGACCAGTTTCCGGATCGTCAAACAAATCCATCAACGATAATGTGGCATTTTGAGGGTGAATCAACCATTAACAGGCATGAATCCTCATCATCGTCAACACCACCGAATCGATTCGTTCGTAGATTTGAGATTTAATTTTCTCTCTGCTCTTCTTCGCGCACACACTCGCTCTTTTTTCTTTGTAGTCGGGAAGGATAAAATTGGAAAAATGAAATCACCAAACCCTTTTTCCCTATTGATTTTCTTTCTTGTTTTTTTACTTTCAAATAAACCAAATTATATTGTATTTTTAAATAATAAATTATCTACAATGTATTATAAAATATTTGATAAAAACTCTTAAAATTCATTTTTATACATGAAGTATTGTTCATATTACTTAAAATTCAAGATTACAAATAAATTGTGTGTAAGTACAACTTATTAAAACTTCATGTTTGAATTCGTGTAACTAACTGCAGATAAATATAGTCAAATACAAGATAAACATTTCATTTTAAATGTGAAAAATCTAAAATATAATTAGGATAATCATTAATTTCTAACAAAATACTTAATCATTATCCTTATAAAAAATTATATTATTAAATCAAAATAAATTACTTGTTACTAAATCTAAATTAGATTATAAAAAAAATTTGAATTAAAGAAATTACACAACAAAAACAATAATTTTTAAATAGCTAACTAGATACTACTAGTATTGATATATTTATTTTCGAAACTTTATGATATCTTCAAATTTATATTTTATTCAAAAACAAAAACATTGTTCTTTTATCAAAACCATAAAAACATTATTCTATAATCGCACAAAGTAAAAAAGAATTCGTTACACTGTTATCGTGTCTAATTATATATCCTAAAAACTGTAAAGATCCGTTTACCTGTGTCCACGTGATCTAACCCCTGGAAGCATTTCCTCCGCTCTCATTACACTGCCCTCTAACCCATTTATCTTAACCTAAGCAAATTTAGCGTACGACTGCTTTACGTTATGTCTGCAAATATATTGAGACGTACGTTACCTTGTATTAGTAGTTAATATAGCAGTTAAGATAGGTTATAGATGGCTAGAAAAAAATTGATACAATTGCAAGTGGTCATTATCAACAAGTGTTCATTAGCTGATGCATCAAGCGATGATGCGCTGATGTTGATGGTCATCAGCTGATGCATCTACTGAAGCCAATCATCTCCTACACTCATTGATGCATTTGTCTTCGCTGCTTTTAAACCTATCAAACCACTGCTCAGCCCCCCCCCCCCCTTTTTTTGAACCCCACAATGGGGCGCGAATCCCTTGATCCTTGTTATACAACGATATAAGGTTTAAGGTGGCACATACAAGCGTACGCTTTACACAAACCTTACTTGCATCAACGCTCAACCTTAAACCTTTAGTTATCTCAAGTCGGTCTAAATTAAACAAAATGCTTAATGGTCCATCTCATTTTACCCTTATGAAATGGATAAAACTTCTCTCTACATTTAAGGATAATATTTTTTTTATCAATAATTATATTCTTTTAAACTGTATATTTTTTATTATTAACATTTATTTGAATTATATTATTAGCCCATAACTTGGAGTCTTAGACTATAGTATATAGTGATGGCCAAACCGGCCCGACCTGGCCCAGAACCGCCGGAGGACCGGAACCCGGTTCGGGACCGGTAAGGACCAATTACAGGACCAAAAACCGGGGCCGGTTCATGATTTGGAGGGTTTAGTGGGACAGGGAGCGGTTATGGCCCGGCCCGTTTTTTCAAAAAAATAGCCTTTAGGTAGCCTTGTTTTGGATTTTTTTGCCTTCTAAACATTATAAATAAGTGTTTTGGTTGAGGAATTTACATACCAAGTTCTCTACTCGCAAAAAAACGTTCACAATTTTTGTAAGACAAGTTAATTATAAGTATAATAAAACGCATTTTTAAAGTGTATTTGAGTGACCAAATTACAAATTTTGTAATGTATTAAAAATATATATCATTAAAAAAAATAAAAAATAAAAATTATTGACCGGGACAGGTTGGGACCAGGACTGGGAGCCCATAACCGGTTACAATAAAGCTAAACGGGCTCACTATTTTCTACCGGAAACGGTTATGGCCGGATTTATTTCCCAGGACCGACAAGGACCGGCTCGGGACCGGTTTTTGACCATCACTAATAGTATATAATAGTTTGGGCTTTGGTTAAAGAGCCCATTTTACATGGATCTTGGCCCAAAATCAGTGGAGATCATGAGTTACCCACTTGCCCTCTGCCCCTCTCTGTTGGATCAAAGATTTTGAATGATAAGAAATATGAATGATGATAAAATAAATACTATTCATAATGAATAAATCAATATTGAGCATGGTTTATTGTCAATTTTTGCTCAACTTTGGATGAATTAAATTTATTGCTATTTTTCACAAATTATCAAGAAAAAAATATATAATGGGTATTATGTAACATCTTAAAATAATCGAATAAGTTAAAAATATTGTCTTATCAGATATCATGAGATTAGAAACTGATTATAGGTTAATAAACTGTTATTCAACAGTAACTGGTGGATGTATTTCGATGTTTGATTTTGCTACTAAAATGGAGAAAAACGTTGTCATCCCCTTCCCCCCAGACGTTCATTGCTTACTAAAATCGTAAAAGACTTTCATGAAAAAACCGAGTTTTAAAAGAAGAATCTCGTGAAAATTGAAATTTATGCAAGTTCACTGGTGATTTAATGTAAATTTCTTACACTAAATTTGCAACAAACTGTGTCCTACGATCTTGTAGACGCGTTTTAGGTGAAATTTGAGTCGAAATGGAGCGCTTAATTAATATAAGAAGTTGTATAATATAATGCATTTTTTAAAACTTCATATATTTAATACTAATCTCTGCCGAATAATCATACCCTGATTTTGGTTCCAACTATGTTAGGAAAAAAAAGAACTGAACTTATATGATCAAGATTTAGTTGAATGATAAAGCCAACATAAAACTGTTTTATCAGATAAATAACTGGAATACTTAGAGAGACGTTTTGTCTTATGTAAGTACGCTACAAACAAATCCCGAGTGCTTACAAACAGAGTCGAAAGAATCTACCCAGTATAAGGCTGAAAGGGGGGGGGGGGTATCTGCTTCCACTAAATAAGCGGTAACGCTAACTCATGTGTAACGACTGCCCCGCTGTCTCCGACATGGAACCGGTGAAATTAAATTCGTACGCGTTAATGTGATTTTATAAATTTTGGGGTCCATGACTCTTTCTCTATATACAAACATGCTACAATAAGGGTATATTTGTTTTTTTTCCAAGTTACCTCTTAATACCTCTAAAGTCTGATTCGTTCAGACGTTTGGTATTAAGAACGTTTGTTTTATTTTTAAAACAAGAGCTTAAAAGCTCTAAATGTCCTCTGAAATTTTAAGTGACAAACATATCTCTTGATATCTCGTAATCTTAATCCGTCCTCTACCAAATGGTTCATATTTTGGGGGTCGGAATAGATTTTTTTAGTAAAAACTATTTATCTTTTGTAAAAAAAAAAACTATCTATCTTTTATATTTTCGCACTAGTTTGACCGACTTAAATTTCAGAATGTACAAACAAACAATCTTACTGATCCAGATTTCAGACTTCAGTACCACCTCTTATAAATCAGAAGTGAAATCAGACTTCACCACCTCTTAAAAAACAAACGCCACCTAATTTTCTACATTTATTTTGTATGTTATAGCATGCTCGATTTGAAAGTCCAGGTACAAAACGAAATACCATGAATGCATTATTATATAAAAAAATCGTTGTCCTTTTCACGCTTTGCCCACCTTTATAGAGAAAGGATAACCGTAGAAACGGGAGTAAACACATACAACTTTTTGAAACGGATAGTAGTACAAAAATCAGTTTTTGAGTCGAATATTTTTCCCGTACTGCTTTTTGGATACATTGTTTTCTTCCTTTGTACTTCTCTTCGGGTTCAATTATTTTGTGTGTTAGCCTGCAATATTCCAATACTATATACGGTCGCACACAACAAATTGATACAGTGACGCTTTTTACGACCCAATAATCTCTTACACTACGATGACAGAGCGAAACAGTGGCCCGTAACATCGCATCCAGGTCTTGATTTTTATACATTTTGTAGTACATTTTTGAACTTTGAATGGATGGAATTTTTTTTTTTACCTTATTGCCCTTAGCAGTTGATTGGGGTCAATTGAACCCAAAAATTGTGTGACACATAGACAAGCAGACTGCACCCCAATTGAACCCAGTCTGAGTTTTCTGACCCCAATTGATCATGTGGGGTTCACCCCCCTGCTTTGTGAGGAAGGTTTGGAGGGAAAAGAAAAAAGTGGTCTGAATCAATGATAACAAGGAGACATAATAACTTGTGTTTTTTAGTGTTCATAGGCCTTTTCTACCTTCTCTCTCTCTCTCTCTCTTTTTTTACCTAATTAAAATTGTATTTTTTTAACTGTGTAAAAAGGTAACTTTTCAAAATATTTCTAACCGTCGTACGTGTAGATAACGGTGGATTCAAGATTTTTACCGAACGGGTGCATTTTCAAGGTGGATTAAAGGTCGTAAAGTCACTCGATGTGTGTTTTAGGTGGATTCCATATTTTCGAGAGATTTTTTCTAGTTTTGTTGATTTTGAGGGGTTTTTTGAAGATTTTTTTTTTGTTGATTTCGATGGACTTTCTGGGTTTCTTGGTTGATTTTAAGAGTTTTTCGGTTAATTTCGAAGAACTTTTTCGAGGTTTTGATTGATATTCTTTGTAGTTTCTACCATATCGTAACACTCCTCAAAGTTTAGCTTATGCACAATTCATACAAAAAACCGTACCCACGAGAATCAGTTAGCATGTGCACAAGACCCCATTGGGACCTTCCTACTTGCAGAATAAAAACAACCAATTTTTTCTGCTAAACAATTTACATTAAAGAACCCTCGTCAATAGATAATCAAATCTCCAGACCAAAAATAAACCATCTGTTAGAGTAAAATCCGTAACAAACAACAACCCATTTTTCTGCTAGACGATTTACATGAAATACCCTGATCAGCAAATCGTCCATTTTTCAAAGCCGAACAGCCAACTCATAACTGGTACGTACGAACAAGTGGAAT